CCGTGTCCCCACGCAGAGCGAGGCGGCGCCGGCCGCGGGCGCCGGGCTGTCCTCCGACGAGGAGGAGGCGACCAGCTCGCAGGCGGAGGCAGCCCGCGCCCTGGCAGCCTCCTGGCCTCGCAACCGGGAGGCCGAAGAGAAGCAGGAGCGGAGGCCCGTCAGGAAGACTCGCAGGGAGACGCGGGCGGAGGCCTCGCAGCTGTTCCCCTTCGAGAAGCTGTGACCCGGCGGCACCTGGGCGGCGTCCTCTCTGCGGGGAGACAGCGGGGGCGGGTGGAGTCTGAGGGCGGAGGCCGAGGCGAGGGCCGGCCCCAGCCAGATTCGCCAGGGCGCGGGACTTTCACCGCGCGCTGCTGCCGGAGTGCAGAAGGCTTTCCCACGGGCTTTCCCACGGCCAGGAGTTCCGGTGCCTTTTCAGGATTTCTGCTGCATTTAGGGATTCCTGTGCATTTAGGATTTCTGGTGCATTTTCGGGATTTCTGCTGCATTTAGGGATTCCTGTGCATTTAGGATTTCTGCTATATTTTCAGGATTTCTGCTGCATTTAGGAATTGCGGTGCATTTAGAGATTCCGGTGCATTTAGGATTTCTGCTGCATTTGGGAATTCTGGTCAGGCTTCCTCCGTCGCACGCTGTTCTCCCGCCCCCGCCCCCCCCCCATCCCGCAGGCCGTCACCCCTCGGCCTCGCTCGCGCCCTCCCTCCTTCCCTCGCGGGCGACAGAAATCGGGGAAGCTGGAACCGGGAGGGAGGGGGGGACGGGGACGGCCACTGCGGGAGCGTTAGTGCAGGCGGAAGCGGGTCAGACCGGGTCTCACTGTACCTGGAGGAGGCTGCGCGTGTCACGGGTGGTCAAGAGAAGTAACTTTTATAACGTTTTTGGAAAAAATAAAAGCATTTATCTGAAAAGACTCGGCTCTACCTGTTCCTTCAGCTTTTTTTTTTTTTTTTTTTTTTTTGTGGCAGGGGGTCTTGCGTGTAGTCCAGGCGGAGCTCAAAGGACTGCCGTAGGCGAGGTGACGATGTCTCCCGCGCCTCGGGCCCTCCCAGTACGGCCCGGGGGGAGCGCCCTACGTCCGGCGCGTTTTACGCACGCTGTGTCGAACACCCAGGTGACGGGGGACTTGTCACGTGTGTGAGACTCTCGCACGAGGCTAGATGTCATTTTTTAATTGTTTTGTGGAAGTACAAGGTCTTGCTCTGTCGGTCGCCCGGAGCTGGAGTGAGTGCCGTGGCATCAGCCGTCGCTCGACAGCAGCTCCAGACTCCATGGCCTCCAGCGAGCCTCCCGCCTGGCGGCCTCACCGCCCTCCCGAGTAGCTGGGATATATTCTCCAGGCCGAATGGCGCCTCCAGCGCCGCGGCTCGTGTTTTTCTATGCACATATTGTCGGCCAATTAGTATTTCTGTCCTATTTTTGTCATTAGAGACGGGCGGTGGGTTCTCGCTCTTGACGGTCCATTTCTGTCTCTTTAAATACTCTTATATTGAAGCTCGTATATAAAATTCTCTCTTTTTTCTGTTTTCTTTTTCTTCCCTATCCGTGCCTGGGTTTTGTTATGGGTTTCAGCCGCCCGGCGTCCCGGCCTGGAAGGCGGGCTTTAACGGAGGGAAAACAAACACCACACTTGGGACGTGACTCAGGCCGGGAGCCTGGCAGGGACGCTGCTGAGAAACAGACGGGGTTGCCGGGAAACCACAGTGTCACCCACTTCTGCCCGGACTCCGCCCTGGCAGCTCAGCCGCTGCTAGGCGGGTCCCGGGAGAGACCCAAGGGCGGGTCCTGGAAGGGTCGCACATGCTGCCAACAAGCCAGCAGCGTTTGCCAACCGCCGGCTGCCAGCCCCGGCTGCAGAACGGGAGGCGACCCGCGTGTCAGGGTCCCCGGGTCCGTCCGTGCGGGCCGGGAGCGCGACCCCGGTTCACAGGCGAGACTGAATGCAGCTCGGGGATCTCCCGTTCGAATGACGCCGCCGCCAGTCGGCGGCAGACCTGGGACCCGAGCTCGGTCTGCGTGTGGCTCCCCCAGGGCCACCCCCTCCCCCCAGCAGCACCAACAACCCGCCCCCAGAGCCACCCCCTCCCCGGGGCCACCCCCCCTCCCCAGACAGCCACCCCTCCCCCAGGGCCACGCCCTCCCCGCAGGGCCACTCCCCCTCCCCTCAGGGCCACCCCCTCTACGCCCAGGGGCACCCCCTCCCCCAGGGTCACCCCCCTCCGCCCCAGGGTCCCCCCCTCCCACCAGGCACCCCATCTCCCCAGGCACCCCCTCCCCCCAGGCCACTCCCCTCCCCCCAGGGCCCCTCCCGCCCAGGGCCACCCCCTTCCCCAAGAGCACACCCCTCTCCAGGGCCACCCCTCCCCAGGGCCACCCCCCTCCCCCAGGGCCACCGCCTCCCCCAGGGGCCACCCCTCCCCCCAGGGGCCACCCCCTCCCCCAGCGGTCCACCCTCCCCCCCCAGGCCACCCCCCCCCCGGCACCCCCACCCTCCAGAGTGCCACCCCCTCCCCCGAGGTCATCCCTCCCCCAGCCACCCCCTCCCCCAGGGCCACCTCCCCTCCCCCCCAGGGCCACCCCATCGCCAGGGCACCACCTCTCAGGAGCCCCCCTCGCCTCCAGCCTCCCCCCAGGCCACCTCCCTCCTAGGTGCACCCCCCCCTCCAGCCGAAGGCTGGTCCACTCGCTGCACCGAGAGGGCTCTGGCGGCTCTGCGGGCTTTCAGCCCGAGACTCCCGCGTTCTCCTTTCTAAAACGCCGAGCCAATGTTAGCCACAAAAAAGCAACCTGGAGCCTGAGCCTTCATCCCTACAGGGTTGTATTTTCGGGTTTTTCTTTTCGCAACAGGCCTTTGGCTCGTCGCCCGGCTAAGGTGCAGTGGCATCTTCGTGGTGCCCACCACCTCCAACTCTCGCGCCCAGCGATCCTCCTGCCTCGGGCCCCTCCTCCCGGGTAGCTGGGGTACGGACGTGCGCCACCACGCCCGCCGCTCTTTTTTATTATTACTATATATAGTTTTTTTTTAGTTGTCCGTTATTTCTCTATGTTTTTTTTTAGTAGAGACGGCGGTTCCGTCTTGCTCGGGCTGGCCTCAATCCTGGCCTCGAGCGAGCCTCCCGCCTCGGCCTCCCAGAGTGCTCAGATCACAGGCCCAAGCCGCTTTGCCCGGCCTCTATAGTTCTTAGTGAACCCTGTGGCCGCATTCTTTAATAGAGAAATTTCATTAAGAATGAAACAAAAACCAAGAAAACCCAAAGTAGGATAACGTCAAGATCATAGACCAGAAGAAATTTAGAAATTTATTTCAAATTTTTATAAAAAATAAAAAGATAATACAGATCTTTCCAAAGACTTCAAATTTTACTTAACACTATTTGCACTTTATACAAAGCACTTCATGAAGTTGGCAGCAATTTAACATGCAGTGAGACCAAAAAACACGACCAACCGATATTGGCCAGGAATTTTGCATTTAGGCCATCTCCCCAGATTAGGACGTTTTCCAAAAATCGTCCCCTTTTTTTTTTTCTTCTTGAGGACAGAGTCTCGCTCTGTCGCTCCGCGGGCTGGACTGAGTGCCGTGGGGTCAGCGCTCGCCACGGAGCGCTCCACTACCTGGCTCACAGCGACCTCCTGCTCGGCCTCCCGAGTGAGCTGGGACTACAGGCATGGCACCGACGACCCGGCTAGTTTTTTTCTCTATATACTTTTTAGGTGTCCATTTAATTTTTCTATTTTTTTTTTTTCCTATGTAGAGACGAGGGTGCCTCGCTCTTTGCTCAGGGCCCGGGAAAAAACTCAAGGTTAGACATCTCTCGGGCAGAGTGCTGGGACCACAGGCCCGAGGGCCCGCGCGGCCGGGTCTCAGGCCTCAGACGCCGGCGGGGAAGCCAGCACAGGAGGCAGCAAGGCCGGATAGCGGACCGGCGACCCGCACCCCGCGCGCGCCCAGCTCTGGACGGTGTCCCCGAGGTGGCAGCCGGTCCCCAGGCGTCTCGCAGGAGCGGCGGCCGCGCCGAGTTCTCGGGCGCTGCGGGAGGACACGCCGGCCACTGCGGGAAGCGGACAACCACCGGCCGCCACCGGCCCGGTGCGGGGACAGGGGCCGGAGGGGAGCAGAGAGCCTGGGCGGAGAACGCCATAAACGCGGGGACTGGGGCTGACCAGGAGCCTGGGGCGGAGGTGACGGGACCCCGGGTGGAGGTGACGGGGACCGGGACAACTGGGGAACACCCCGGGGTGAGGAGTGACGGAC